ATCTGCATCTTTTTCTTCCTCACAACACAGATAGCTTCTTTTAAGCAGGTCTCAATGTAATGTCACATGTTGTGGTTTCTGTCACTCCCACAGCTGCTCTGTCACGTTATTGTCTCCCCAAAACACTTCCATTTTATTTTACTCAACTTCTGTTGTGTTTTGTGCACAGCGTTTTTCTATTTGCTGATGTTGCCTTTAGTTGCAGTGTTTTTGACCTCTCAGGGCCACAGTACTACTGTCACTCCTTAGGATTTCTCACATGTGCAATGTAGCCATGTACTTTCTCAATGTCACACAATGAAGCTGCACATGAGAACGCAAATGTCCAACTTGAGCAGGTAGGGCATCCAGTGCTCTTTAACCAACTACCGCTCAACATCTGCGTGATGTCTGGGTGCAAAAGTTTGGGAATAGCAGAAGATTGTTAGGGGGATCTACAGAGATCTAGTGGATGCACGCTGTACTCAGAGATCACCTAAACCAATATATTTTAGGGTGACTTTCATCAGTTTAAAAAGAAATTAATAAAAAATGCCAATTTTGTCTTTAAAGTCTATTTGCATGCTAGGCTAATCAAGACCTAATCAATTGCTCTATTAAGTGTGCATTTTCCTGGACATGAGCAGACTAGTTGATCACCAGTGAGGAACAGACTTGACTTGAATGACAAATGCTGTTGTGCTGAAATGCTATTCTGGTAACTGTGAGCAACTGTTGACCTGTTTTTACTGTCACAGGTGATCAATGACCGTCTCAGTACAGATTCAATATTTTACTGTTGGACTACACATGTTGGAATCGGGATGTGATTTTATTCAGAAGTGCGTGGTTTGAAATTTATGGATGTAGTTGTTTCTTTATTTCTTTTTTCCCCTCCTCTACAGTCTCTCGTTTCTCCCAATGTGTTCATTCATTTTGTTGCTGAGTGGCAGAGAATTTATGCTCCGAAAAATATTTACATAACCTACTGTGGACCACCAACTCTGCGCTGCTAACAGTGGGTTCTGCGCGCACGCCCACACACTCACAGACATGCAGGAATACAACACAGAGAGATGTCCGGTGAGATCAGCTCTTATGACATAACCCGTATCCAGTTTTAAACGAGCAGTCATAATGCAAGGCCGAGCATGTGACAGTACGCGCCTCATTCATTAGCCTTGCTGTCTTGGTACAAATAGCCCAGCCTGTCAACTTCAAACAACATATCTTAAAAAATGAATAAATAAGTCTGCACTCAGATAGAAATCAGACATGTGATCAGCGCACAAGCAGTGAAGCGCACATGTGCTAACCATAGGAGCATCTGCTTCATAGTAGTGGTCTGCTTCAGCAGCTACTGCAGTATTAGCCCTGCTACAGTGCGGTGAACAAAACAGAGGTAATGTAACGCAACACTAGCATCTGTCGGACAGCAGGTTACCAAACCATAAGTCCTATGTGTCAGCTTGCTTAACTGGACATGCTTTAATCCTTTCGGACCTTCTTTGTTCCTCATCTGCTTGCTCCAGTTGGCGCTGTATTCGTCTTAGTGAACAATTACAAATAACATCTACGACTTCTATGTCCAAATCCAAAACATTCGATGAAAAAGACCCAACCGGACTTCCTATCACTTTTTGCTTTTTGGTCCATTTTTTAAAAAGAAGAAGCCAACACATGCTTGGCACGTTATAGCCCTTTAAATTATTTAACAACAAATTTTAGATGCAGCTTTCTCCCGCTGCAGGACAGTCCCATTTTAATATCTCTATTAGCCATTAGCATGTTCTGTAAGAGAACATAACTTGCCTTACTTTTTCACGCCTCGATTCTTGAGCGCCTGCAGCGAGCACAACTCATAAAAAAAATGGGATTTTAATCCCCATGAGAAATTCCCTGTGAGTTCTGTACTATCCACAAAAATGAAATGAGGAAGCTGGTAGAGATGCTTTTTGGTGCTTAGAGACATGTGATCAATTAGGTGATGGCTCACTGGCACTTTACCCCATGAGGGAATACTAGGTTTTCTTCTCAAGGACAATTAAACAGTCTTCTTATCACTCCAGCTGACACGAGATCAACAAGGGACCAGAGTGTGGAGTCATGGGCAACCAATTTTTCACTTAAAGGTCAGATCATGAAGGAGAAAGAGTTTCTGATAATATCATCTAGGTTGTAAGCAAGGGTTCAGTTTTAAAAAATATATGGTAGAAATGCTGCAGAAAGGCTTACATCGGTAACAGACAGTGATGACATCAAAACAGACAGAGTGCTTTTCAATACCAAAATTCTAAAAAAACGTCACCTTTTTCAGTACTGGAGTTACTGTATGTACCAAGTAGGGCTGTCATAATAAATAAATACATGCCTGATTGCAATCAGATTAGATACTCATTTGCAGCAGTATTGATACCATATTTCCCTCTTTTCACTGACAAACTTCACACACAGCAGACAGGCAGACACCCAGCCCCTCCCGTCACTAGCAGTTGAACACATTAGCAGTGGCATAATAAAACAAAGCGTGTTAAAGACTGACACCGAAGTCTTGAAGAATTCCGCGAGGTCAGTAAAGCTCCTGTTTCAGCAGCACTGAGTTGCTGAACACAGATATTAACGTTTATGATGGTGTTAGCTGCTTAACTGTTAGCAGTTCCACACATTAGCCAACAGTTAGGTTATTGTTAAGGTACCAGGTATAGGTAGTAAAAAATGATAACGTTACTGTTGCCATCATCGGTCCTACCTGTCAGTGATGTTATTAGGAAGGATTAATTTAACAGGATAACAAATTATTTACCTCTAAAAAGTGTCTCTTAAAGCCCCTTGTTGAACCTGAGAAGAGTCTACTGGTAAGGTTGGCTGTATTGTTTCTGCCTATAGGCAGAAACAATACAGCCAACCTTACCAACACTATTTGATCACCATGAAATATATGGTGCCAAGTCACCAAAAGCAAAGGAAATAAACAGAGGTGTAGCTGAGTCTATTTACACGAACCATTATTGCTCTTATCTTTCGTTGGTTTTTTTTTTTTTTTAATTTTGTCCTTTTTTCTGTCTCTGTGGTACCAAAAATTGCATCGATTATTGAGTATTTTCCCAGTACCAGTATCAGTTTGAAATTCTACTACGGTGACAACCCTTGTAGTATTGTCAGACCAATAAATTTGTATTTGTGCATATGTAAGATTAGAAATGTCAATAAAGGTTTGAGTTGATTTTTTTTAAATCAATTGAAAAAAGTTGCTCTTCTGAGGCTTTGCTCACATTGAGGGCTAAAGGTCCTGCAATGGTTTTGACCTTTCTTTTGTAGAGTTGTTTGTAGCAGCGGAAAGACAAAATCACCAAAGCAACCGAACACAAAACATGTGCGTCAAATCTTTTAGCAAACCATCATTAGGCACAAGTCCACAAGTCATGACAGAAGACACGACTTGCAACTTGCAACTTCCTTTTGGTACATTTCTAATAGAAACAGCGGTCCACCACAACAATGCTCAGCTCTTCTCGAGAGGAGGGTCGTGAGGGATCGTTGGCTGACGCACACTGACCTATTCAGACAGATCATCAACGTGGGTTTGACCCACGTCACAGTGTCAGTCTGAATACCGCATGAATCATCCACTCCAATCTCTAGAGCTGATAATCTTTAATGATCTTTAATGATGAAGGCAAATTAATGAATCTTTGAAACAAAACTGTGTGTGTGTGTGCATATGTCGCCGTTTTAAAGTTTGTTTTTCGATTTCTTCCGCTTCAAAACACACAGAAGTCTCAGAGAGGAAATTTGTGGGCATAAGGTTGCCCCTTTATCTAGCTGTGTATCTACCTTTCTACACCATGTTTTTCTTCTCCGACTTCAAACACCACGTCAGATCATCCTTCTTAGATTCACTACACCTTCAAGCTTCCACTATCATAGGTCTACAAGAACACAGCAGAAGCTTGTCAGAATGCACCTATTCAGAGTTGGGTTTTTTAATCACTTGAAGACAAAGAGATAGAATCTCAGAGACAGAATAAATGTAGTTTACTTTTATAATCGTGCTTGTATTTTTATACTCTTGGTACCTTCTATATTAAATTCCAGGTACTCAGGAAGCACTTAGGAAAATAAATGTGAGTCAGGTCCTAATTTTGTTTTTACACCACCCACTTAACCACATCACGAATGAAAAAAAAAAAACATATTACAGCGGTTCATCTTCAGCTTCTTTTCATAGCGCCTATATCTGGATGCACATTATGTTCTTATGCTCCGGTGTGTTAAAACATCCCACAGATGAAAATGATCCCGGCAGGATGTTCGGCTGAGGGGGTAATAATAGAAAGTAAAGCAGACATGAGCACTTCTCCTAGGAAGTAATTTCACTTGGACTACTTGGCACTTTGAAATTAAATTAAAATATCTGATTATTCAAATAAAATGGCTGCCAGAACTGTTAGTAGAGGGAATACAGCTCGAACTGACTGATGAGCTTCAAAAGAATATATATATAGCCAGGTGCTTGAATCTGAGCCTAAAGCAGCCCAGGTAAGTGTTACAGCACTTTCAGTCTATAGAGGCAAACAGACCGAGTGCTGGGTGTACTTGGGGCTGTCTCAATTAGGCGTGTTAACAGGTCCTATAACAGAAAAGCTAATTTACCTAAAAATAACCAACCCACCAGATTTGGAGGTTATAATACCAACCTTATAGACACAGAGGGAAATGCAAATTGTTGCACAAAAGATTTAGCATGTAAAACAGCCAAATCTCACATCAGCAAAGGACAAAGACTCACAACAGGTAACATCTACTTCTTGCCCAATACCAAGACACGCCCTTCATGTCTGCACGTGTCACCAGTGTGAGTCTCTCACTGGTGCTTGTGTATTTATATAGAAGCAGCAAGTTTCTACTGACAACTCAAACGTGTATGCAGGCGTGCCACCACACACACACACAAACATTGCAGAGGACATATTTTGTCTTACCGATTACCAGGGTCAGATTTCCAGCATGTTAAAGGATATGGATTGCAGACCATGCGGAGACACCAGTTGCGAGGCCTCGTTGTTTGCTTTAAGCAGAAGAAGGCCACGGGGGCCAGGGCCGCATACGGCTGCTGTTCCTCCTCCTCGGAGACGCAGTCTGGATCACGGATGGGAGCCGTGATGCGAACTCCCAGTGTTGGTCCATCTTCCACTTCCAGCTCCGGTTCCTGTTCTTCATCCCCCTGAACTTCAGGACTCCACTCATTTTCTCCATCTCCTTGAATGCTACTGCTGCTGCTCCTCCTCCTCCTCCTCCTGCTGCTCCTTCTCGTCCTCTCCACCTCCTCCTCTTCCTCCTCATCATCCGGGCGTCTTCTTCCTGGGTCATCTTCATGACCTTGGCCATCATTCCTGTAGGATGTCGGTACAGCAAGCCTTACCTCCTCCTGCACCTCCTCCAGCTCCTGGCACTCTGCGTACTGAAAGCGCGCTCTCCCTTCGCCATCAGTCATGATAGAGCATCAGGCAGAGCCACTCTGAAGGGAGGTCAGAGGAGAGAAGAAGGTTAGAGGGAGTCGGAAAGTGGGGAGGGAGCCCACGGTGAGTCAAAGGAGGCAGACATGAAGGTAGAGGAAAGACGCAGATTAACGGTGACAGAAAAAGAAGCGAGTGAAAGATCAACTTGGCAAAGAGCAACTGGAGACAAATCGCACAAGGAGCCAAATAAACACTTAGGCCATTTCCTCCTCCAATCCCTGAGCAGCAGGAGCTTCCAATCAATCTAAAACACAGATTTCCAATACAGTCCTTTTACAAATCTGCCAGGGCTTTAGGCTTTTCATGGGCTTTTTTTTTTAAATAGCCTTTCTTCTCAGTTGTGTTCTTTTCCCCTTAAAACGAACAAAAAAACAAACAATAAATGCTTTCATCAGACAAAACTGGGAGTCTCTGTCAGAACATCAAGCCTGAATTTCATAGTAGCCATAGTAATAACACAGTAAAGGCACCATGGAGCACTACAGACTGACAACTGCCTGCTGTTGCAGCAATTAGTAGAAATGCGAAAATGTGTTTAATGAAATTAGGTAACAATTAAGTGCGAGTACTATAAGAGTATCATAATAGTAGAGGGATGTTTTTCCCACTCTGTCTCCCTCTCTCTCTCTCATTCTCTCTCTTCCTGTTGCTATGTGATTGAACAGATGGACTGTTCTGTCTCTGGTCTGCTGAAGGTTTTTAGCCCACACCACGCAATGGTGGGCAGGGAATGCGCCAAAAAAGAGGAAAAAAACCAAACCACCACAGCAATACTGATTATTATTGTAATAAGTGGAATAACGTCGAGAACAAAAACATTAGTGATCGTAATCCAGCAAACAGACTTTGCCCTTTTGAGGAAGCTTTTCTTTTTTCTTTCTTTTTCAACGGGCTTTGTTGTCCGCCGTTTGGTGTTACGTGAGAAGAGCGCATCTGACTCTTCAGGCAGTTGGAAGCTCTCCTCCTGGGGTTCTTTTATAAACACCGAACAATATTAAAAACACTTTGATATGAACAGTTGCTGTAAAAGTACTTCCATACGCGTTTTAAACGGTATTAATGGAAGTAGAAGCCACCAGAGCGCGCATCATCGGTGCCTTTTCCCGTTTTTCGCCCCTAAAAAGTGGACTATCTCCTGCACTCAGTGTGTATAAAAATAATCACATGCAAACAGAAGAACTTTATTGTTTTAAACTACCTTATTGAGACGGAATCGGAAGTTCCCATAAGCATGATCCGTGACTTTCCGTCTTTCTAGCGCACCCAGCCTTTCTCAGCTTCCCTTTCCTTCTTTCCTCTCTTCTCTCTCGCTTAAAAAAAATCACAACAAAACAAAAAAAATATCCTTCCTTGGCTTGCCAAAGATCAGATGTAATCCGAGGGTCGTTGGAAATCGCTGGAAGTAATCAAATAAGTCACTTAAAGTCGTCTTGATTTGGCGCGTTCAGTTAAACGGGAACATCTATCCACATCCATGCATCCATCCATCCGCTCCTCTCTGAGGTGCTCGTTACGCAGCGTGGAGCGGAGATGCGCGCAGGAGGGTCGGGGCGTGTGGCTTTCTGAGCTGAAGCTCCGTGGATGGTCTGACACGGAATTTAAAAAAAAAAAAAACTTGGCCCAGGACCCGGGAGCCGTGACACGTGACGTGATCCCCGGCTTTAGGAATACGGCGCACAGTAGGAGACTCACACCCGGGCGCGAGAAACGAGCAGAGAGCCAAGCTGGGCGTGCACGCACCGCGGTGTTTAATGGATCACAAAGCAGACGGCATAAAGAGAGAGAAATTAATGCACAGTGTGTCGGTCCGTATTATTTTTGGCAATAATCCCAACACAGAGGACTATACCGGCAAAATGGAAATACTGGTGGTGGTGGGGGACGGGGGTGCCTATATCTTCTATATTGTTCTTTAGAGTAAAAAATAAATGTAAAAAAAAATGCTGGAACGTGCTGGGAGTAAAAGGAAGCAAGTTTTGGTTTTTGACTTTATCGTGAAACATGGACAAAGACAAAGGAAGATAAGACAAAAAGTGAAAGAACATTTTAGATTTTCTTATAGTCGGACCCTCCAGGGTCATCGAAAATAAAATGAAAACACTGCAGAGTATAAAATGTACTTAAAGAAAAACTGATATGATACATATTTGAAGTTATATTTAGTTTAATTCAGTTCAATTCAATTTTATTTATATAGCACCAAGTCACAACAACAGTTGCCTCAAGGCGCATATTGTAAGGTAAAGACCCTATAATAACACAGAGAAAACAGAAAACCCCACTGTCACTCTGTGAGCAAGCGCTTTGGTGGGAAGGAAAAACTCCCGTTTAACAGGAAGAAACCTCCAGCAGAACCAGGCTCAGGGAGGGGCGGCCATCTGTTGGGACCGGCTGGGGGTGAGGGGAGGAAGACAGGACAAAAAAAACAAAAAAAACACACACAGTGGAAGAGAGCCAGCGATAAATTATAAGTAATGATTAAATGCAGAGGGGTGTAAAAACACATCAGTGGATCAGAGGAAGTCCACAGCAGCCTAGGCCAAAATTAGTGAGGAGTGGAAATTCTATTTTACAACAGCCATCTTGGAATTTGCCATCTATCCATCAGTGAGAGCAACATAACCTACAGAGTTTTCATATCACCAAAGTTCAAAGCACTGTTATGCAGGGCATTAAGCTTGAATCTTACATCAGGCATATCATCCAACAGAGACAAAATTGACACAACACTTGCAAACAAAATGGTTAATGCCACAATAAACATGTCCATAATTATAATTATATTTAATATTTTTGTTCAGCATGTTTATCATAGTTCATCCTGTATTCATTCAGGCAACCGGCGCCTCCACAATTTGATTTGACAATCAATTTAAACTCCTTTAAACTCCCATATTGCTTGAATGATCAATCACAATTACATTGACTATATTTAATTAAGAGCATCCAAGGCTGACGGAGTCAGAGAACTAGAGATGGAAGAGCAAAGTGAAAGAAACAGGATGTAGGATGGATACTAGGAAAGTGCTTTACTGTTCATTTGACTCCTGGGCAGCCATGGGCCCTGAACAAAGCTTTTCTGTCCATAAAACATATCTTTGAGAATAACCGACACCACGATCGGGAGAGATTTAAAACTTCCTTCTTAAATCAAATCTTTCAAATCAAATCTTTCTGACTGAAGGAGAATTTGACCAATTGAAATCAGCAGCAGAAGGTCCTTCAGAAACACCAATGAAAATTCATCAATGCATTTGTGGTATAGAACTAATGCAGATAAATAATATCACACATTAACACCTTAACACTCACAATAAGATCGTCAAACAGATTCACCTCTTTGACGATCTTGTTTGCAGAGACACAAAGGAAGTGGACATTAGCCTCCACTGTGACTGCTATAACCCAATTAAATATCCCCTATGATGAGCTCACTCCTGTTGTACATATAGAAATCCAAAAGGCGCATTGTTGTACACGCCGATTACCAACAAGCAGAACTAAACCCAGCTTAAACAGGCAAGTCACATGATGCCCTCTTTGTCAAATCGTGTGTGGAAGAGCTACATTTATAAAAAAAAATATAATAATGATAAATAAATCAAACACAGGAACTGACACAAAAGGTAAAGAGCTAGTGGGGAAACAAAGAAAGGGTTTAACATCAAGTCTGCAGGGTGAAGTCTGATTTATGCTCTCAAGCTCTCTTTGTTGTGGTTCTCTTTTGTTAAAGCAGACAGTGTCTTTCAATACCTCCAGAAATGAGGGGATTTTGAGCTTCAAGCCCACTGGTGACACGTGATAATAAGTGATAATGGTTGTTTAATGGACTGGTAACATGTGAAAAAGGTGGCAGGGAAAGACCAAGAGCTTTTTAAACTTTAAACTCTAAAAAAAAAGCAGATGCTTAACACTTCAGCTTGGGTCAACTTGGGAATCGAGAAAGTCTTTCATCGTAAAATATAGAAGCGCAAGCATTCTAGTGGCAACATTATGTAAAATAATTAGCATCTGTGCGCAGAGAGAAAGTAGTTTGGGGGATTGTTTTGTTTTGTGTGTCTGTGTATTACATAATGGCTAAGTACACTGGCAGGTCAACAATCTGACATAATCTTTTTAATCTTTGTGTGTATCTTTGTCTTTACTTAGCCTGATTATTCTGCAGTTGGTTGTTCACTTTATAAGTACACCAGTGGGTTTCACTGAGCTTTTAAACAGTATCAATATTCAGCTTTTGCTGCTTTTTGGGGCAAAAAGCTTGAAGTCGAGCACGACAATGCAGTAAATTATATCAAATTTGACTGTCTTTACTCTAAAACAGACACTGATGCAGAGCAAAGATGCACACAGCTTTTATCGTCTGTGTGCTGCAGTAAACATAGCGACTGGCTCGTCACGTTTCAAAATCCAAAAATGCAGCGCTGGGTGAATCAGACCAGATGTGACACTTAAAGCCACCCCACACCACAAATCTTCCTCCCCCTGCTTTAAAAATCTCTGAACTCAGTTTCTTGAATTCCTAGTTAGGGTGCCAAAAGCCTAAAAACTGGAGCCAGGAAAGGACAAGTACTGGCCGTTTCTGCAGACGTCTTCAGCTGACAATGATCTTTGTGGTTTTGAAAACCTTTTGGCAAGACCTTTTATGATCACACTGCAAGTAATACAGGTTTAAAAATATATATATATATATTGAACAGTTCTGCGTTAGAGCTGCTTTATGTAGTGCAAAGATCACCTAGGAGCATCAGTTATACTGGAAAATAATGTATAAATGCTGGGCTCGTGTACAGTACGGGAGCCAGCTGCCAAACCTTTTCATCGCTAAGCTGATCAAAGTTATAAATTGTCAAAAGGTTGATGTTCTCCTCTGTGGCTTGTGGTGTTTGAGCCATTACCCTGAAAGCCAATTAAGGAGTTTTTGAAGATGTGAAACTAAAGGGACAATGGGTTTTCTTAAATGTCCCTTTTGGCTCTCCTCATCAATATTGTGAAAATGCTAATTACCCAGGTTTTAATCAGCCACAAGCTCAGCTGAATCACTCTTTACCATCATCTGCATGTGCAACAGGAGACGTGAGCGTGAGTGTGTGTGTCCATTCTCATTCTCAGCTGTGAGAAAAAGTGACTAGTATGCAGACAGCTCGAGCTCTTCAAGCTCATCCCCCTCCCAACACCTGTCTGTCCTTCCCACCCGTCCGTCTCCCTCCCCAGGCTTTCGTACATGCAAACTTGGAATTCTGTCTTCATTACTCTATGCTTGGCTCCTATGAGAGTTTTGCTAATGCGGGCTCCACTCTGACGCCCTGCTCAGCTGTGTGTACGAGGCCTGGATAACCTGTGTTTCCCTCTCTCGTCAACTAACTGCTTTTTCTCTACCGACCCCCCTCCAGGAGTTTGTTCTTCCTCAAAGGAGAACCGTAGCTGATAATATCAGCTTGTTTCTGTTTTTATTACACAACAAAATCAACTCTGAGTCGAAATACCTGCAAGTACACAATACACGTGGTTACAAATTCCGCAAGGGAGACAAATAATAGACTATCCTACATCTTTGGGGATTAAAACATCTCTTCACAAACTGCAATTCATTTGCCAACGCTCCAAATCAATAGGAGCGCGTGTGCTTCCCAAAGATAATCAATACTCCTTTGTCAGGTTGACATCTACAACTCCCCCCCCACCCCACCCCCCATCCAATCCCATCTCATCATCCACCATCCTCCACTCCGACTCCCACACTTTCATCATCCGGCCTTTTCCTCCCGGTTTCCTCATCTCGTGTCATTGCTTGTTCCTGCTAAGTTGGACTTTTGAAGCGCTGCGGTGAGATTGAAGCCACTGCAAACACAAAACAATGGTTTTTTTCTGTCTCAGAAAGCTTTCCAGTTTGAAAAAGTGAAAATGTTTGACGTCAAATTGTGCTTTATAATTGGTGACGTTAAGTAAATAAGGCATTTAGTAGCAATATATCAAACTGGGTAATTTAGAAAATTCATGTTTGACTACTTTTCCACTGAAAGCAAGAGTGCATTACATTACGCAACTGTGAAAAGGGTCAGAGTGAGCAGTGAAAGGGAAAATGGCAGGATTTTCAAAGAAAGCCAAGTTTCCTATCAAAACATTTCAAGGAAAAGCATCTCTAGGTTTTGCATGTGTTGACTGACATGTGATCTCTTGAGATGTGGAGGGCAAAAGCACAACAAAGACTTCAAAGACAAAAGTAATGAATAAAATCAACAAAGTTGAGGCGCAGCTCTACATCGATGCCATTATCTTTGCCTCGGCTAGGCTAGTCCTCTGATCTAGCTTACTTTCACACGGTTGTCTTTGTCCTTCCCTCATCTTTGCTCTGCTGGTGTCTATTCGTTAGACCTGCTGGTATATGTGAGGTCTGTTCCTCTGTTCCTGAGCAGCTATGAGGCACTTCTATACTGTGCGTGAGTGAATATTGCACAAAGCAACTAAAATATACATATTCTTGATGTATTATTGAAATCAAACTGAGTGGAGTAAACAGAGGCATGAAAAAATATAAAGCAGGGATGGTTGAAAGAGAAAAGGATGAGCTTTTTTAATACCCCATGTCTGTCTGCGTGCCAAAGTAATCATTCTAATTAGGGTATGGGAGAGGAAAAAATATCTGTGCATTCATAAATACACCAAGAAAAGAAAGAGGAAGCAGTTACATAACTCACACGCATACA